CTGTGAGTCTCACTTCCGAGCCCCTGCCCCTCTGGCTGCTGGCAGAGAACTACCAGCCTGGCCTCAGCCCTGGGCTTTATGAGGGCCAGGCCCTGCCCCTTCTGGCCAGCTGATTCTTATTAGTTGCCCCGGCAACTCACAGCTGTGTTCACTATGTTCTGCCAGGGCTCTCTCCCTGGCAGTTTCTCCTCTGGCAGCTTTCCCCTCTCTAGGAGCAGGAGCACCGAGGTGCCCTGCGACAATACCACAATAAGCTTTTAGAGAAATTAATTTATACGTATCACTGAGAGCTCTTGCACCCACTACATAGAACTATGTCACATGCCACTTTTCTTGTGAATTGATTTTTTTAACTCTTGGCTTTGCTTGTGTAAGTATCCTCTTTCTGTTATCACGAAAAGCCCACAATACCACTGTACAACAGATTTTTGTCAACTGATATTCACACTTTACCATTTCTTGGAACTCTGAAGCTTCCGCATACGTTTGTATAGCCATGCTGTCCACTCTGTAGGCACAGCAGTATGCTTTCTACATATGAGGAGATGATTGGTTGGTTATTCTTCATCTCCGATTGAAACATCTCATATTCCAACAGAGGCCAGAACTAATATTTGTCACCTTGTAACTTTCTGAAAATGCCATTAGTGTGTAATATGACATAATGTGCAGTAAATCACACAACACCACAATATGATGCAAATTTGAGGCCCACTTCACCACTGCAACACTTCAGCTTTATGCTATTGTAACTCTGCTGAAATCAGTGGAGTAACACCAGAATTTTAAAAAAAGAACAACAAAGACAAAAGCAGGGATGTATCAAGCCTATATTATAATCATGGTACAATGTAAGGGAACTGCATTTGTTTCTACAACTGGGGAGTCACATATTTGGTATAACTACATTTATGTTCTGCAATCGTGTGCGAAAAGATGTCAATACACACACAAAAGGGAACAGAGTTAGGGTTGCTATGGAAACTCAGAATTTTCTGACTTTTGTATGGTTAATATCCCAACTGTAGCCTTGAATTAATACAGTTTTTTGCATTATTGCATGTTCTTGCTTTGGATCTCTCTCTAACATGCATAATTCCACAAGTTCATAAATGTACACCTTTTACCCTGCACATTTCAGACACATAGGGAAGTATTCTCCCACTGCTGCACGGTGCATGTGCTTTCATAATTCCCATTATTTACAAGACCCTCCCATATAATCTCCCAATCTCAGAGTGTAAATGCATTATATTAAACTCATTTTTCTCAGTATAGATATGAATATAGAGTAGTAACATACAAATGGAATGGCAGGCATAAACCTAAAGATCTATTGTTCTAAATATCATGCATCATATACTTCTTTTCTGTCACATGCAACAATAAGACAAAATTCTCTGAACAAAATCCATTGTAATTCTCAAAGCAGCACCTCTTTCACAGAGAAGACAGAAGCAACACCAACACTTCAGAACTTTCCACACTGAAACACCAGGCATGAGTACTGAGTATGCAGCTTGCAGCCTTCGGCTTTCATTGCATCATATCTCACGTGCCAGACAAAATCTGGACTGATCAGAACTTGAATGAAGGATCATGAAGAAATGCCTCAGTGCTGTGAAATAGCATGTTGCTGACTCACTATGTGTTTCAAAACCCTCTAATTCAATATTGAATTAGTGCTCCAGCTGTGACCTAGTGGTATTGACAAAGACAGTTTTTAGATGAAATGTAAAATCAAGTCCAAGCCATTTGTGATAACCTGGGGACAAGGAACCAAACCAGCAAATATCACTTTCCTTTGTATGTAGGCAACTGTTTGCTCACTATCACTTATGTAGTCAACTTATTATCAGTGCATGTAAAACCAGTTTGCATGTGCAAAGCAATGACAAACAATGTGCACCCTTGCAAATGCTATCCATCCACAAGTGGTAGACATGTATGTTATTGTCTTGCTGTTTAAGTGAGAGGATGAAAGAGGGAGCAAACATCAGTACAGAAATCTGCCCTGTTACAATGTGACAATGAGTTATTTATCACATAAAATTCACAGTTTGCACACAAATAAAGAAACAGTAATATCTATACTATGATGAGCTCTACATTAGCTGTCACCACACAGAAAAGATCTGGGAGTCATTATGGACAGTTCACTAAAAACATCAGCTCAGTGCTCAGCAGCTGTCAAAAAGGCAAACAAAATGTTAGGGATTATTAACAAAAATTGTAAACAAAACAAAAAGTATCATTCTGCCCCTTTATAATACACCTTGAATACAGTGCACGGTTCTGGTCCCCACACCTCAGAAAGGTTATAGAAGAACTAGAGAAGGTACAGAGAAGGGCAACAAGATGATTAAGAGTATGGAGGGGCTTCTGTATGAGAGACAAAAGGGCCTAGACCGATTCAGTTTAGAAGAGATGCATGACGGGGGACATGATAAGGGTTTGCCAAATGCTAAATTGCGAAAAGAAAGTAAATGGGGATTTATTATTTACCATCTCTCACAATACAAGAACTAAAGGTCATAAAACGAAACTATTAAGTAATAAGTTTAAAACTAACAAAAGGAACTTCTTTTTCTCACAGCACGTAACTGAAGTGTGGAATTCATTGCTACCAGATGTTGTAGCAGTTGACCATTTAACCAGATACAAAAAAGGATTGGACAAAGTCTTGGGAGAAAGGGGCATCAGTAGCTATTGAGCATAGGACTTAGGGGTAAGGCCTCCGAATCACAACTTCCTAGACCTTAAATGCTGGAGGCTGCAAGTGAGAGAGGAACAGTGAAAAAAGCCCCGGTCATACTAAATTCATTCTTCGTTTCAGCATCTGCTCTCTGCCACTGTGACACACAGCATATTAGGCAAGATGGACCTTGGTTTGAACCAGTCCATTAACAGTCCATTGAAAGTCTGGCTTATAGTGTAATAAAGCAGGAGAGCCACCATATTCTACCCAAGAAGTGGCTGCCTTTTTAGCATGGTGTAAAGGGAACTGCATTTATACAGCCTAAATACTTCAGGATCTCTTGGAATGAAAGATTAATTGTAAGGCATTGTCTTACAATTATAACTATAAAAGCACAGTTTCACAGAAAGAGGGCCTCTGCAAAAATCAGGTTGAACAAAAAACAACACTGCAATTATGCTTTTAAATGAAAGGGATTCCCTCTTGTGATGAAACGCATCTTTTATTTTCACCCACTTCTATGCTACTACACCAACTCTTGTTTCAGGCTCCTCACTGTGCCACCCTCTAACGAAGCTGAAAGTCCTGGAAATAAAATGTGCTCTGTACATGGGAACAGCACATACTATTTTATCCAAATGAAATTTAAAATAGAGCACCGTTATAGTTGTGTTTTAGTCCTCCATCATTACTTCCAGCATCCTTATAATATGGGTGCAGTAAACTTGAAGCATATAATAAGAGTGCACTTCTACTTTTTTTTAAAGACTGACCTGCAGTTCGGGTTTACAAACCAAATAACTGTAGTCAGGCATATTAGTGCTTTAACCTTTTTATTACATTACATACATGACAACAATTAAGGCTCGGATTCTTTCCAATGTATTATCATTTGCTGTTCCCTCTGGCCTTTTTCCATCCATTTCAAAGAATGTACATAACATCAACTGAACATTCTCTCATGGGTTTTTTTTGTATTGTATTGTTGTGTTTCTTTTCTTCTTAACAACTGTCATCCTTTCATGCTTAGCCAGCTATGGACTATCTAACAGCAACAGCAGCAGCAAGAGCAACAACAACAAGAAGTTTGGGGGTTTAAAACTCCTCATAAAATTAAATCTTAGATTTAAATTCTCCCTCATATTTTATTGTCTTTTCTTTTCTTTTTCCTGTGGTAAATGGTAATTAGAGTCAATAATCTTTTGCTGAGAGAGCACCTTGTCCTCACAGTGTTTATATCATCATCATCAAAGATCTGCCTTAAGGCCCTGGCGTGTTAATAATTTAAGGTGTGCACAGCCTAGTTATAGCAGGAAGCCTAGTTATTGAGTTTGTAAACCAGCTGATGATTTATGGGAACACCTTTCATGAGTCATGCTCATTAAATAAAATACTTCAGTTTAATAAGGAACATGGGGTAAACAGCTCTTCCCGTTACAGGGTGACTGTGCAATTGGAAATTGTTGATTTTTGTCACCAGTGTAGCCATTACTGTTTTGTCTTAATTGTCATGGCGGGGTCAGGATCTGTATGAGCATGTCTCCCCTCAGAGTACAGATAGCAAGTGCTTAACTGATGCTATCTTTTCTGTTCTTTCTCTTTCTCTCTCTCTCTCTGCCTTTCCATGCAGCTGATTTACAAGTTAAACCTTTTGATAGTGAAAATGTTAAATCTCTCTTTAAAGGGCTACTAATTAAGAAAACAGAAATGTTCACAGAAATAAAATTACAAGAACAAAAATCAATATATGGGTGTTAAATGTAGCCTGCATTTTAGAGCCATAACCATATTTTACTTTTAAACACTAGAGTTCAGTCTGGCTCATTAGAAATTCCTTGGGATATTGAGGCAGTAAAAGTCCAACATATTGGGCTCTTCTCTTTCACCAAAAAAACATGTAAGCTGCACCCATCACTTTAAAAATCTATTGTATCTTGAGGGATTTAAAGAAGATTATGCAAGGTGGTAGTGCTTACCCTCCTATAATAAACACTGATATAGTGACATGACTTACATTTCAAATCCCATTAAATTCCAATTCCAATTGAGCGGGTGTGTTCAGAAAGTTTCCATTAGAGAAGGATACGATTGACTAAAATTGTTCTTAGCAGAATGAACTTCTGCCTAGTAAGGGCCTGTCCCTGTGAGACAGTATATTCTCTCTGCTCCCTCTGATGTCACACACTGAAGACATTAGAAACTGGGGGAGCAGGCATCACTCAGGAAGCACATGACATCTTGCAGCCTAGGGCATGCTGGATGCGATGCT